ATGAGGTGGGCGCAATTCGTGGCCCTGTGCTGCTGCGCTCGTCAAGAACTCAGCAAGAGCAGCGCCATTAGCTTGTTGCTCGCTTTACGTTATTTGCAGCTCGTGCAGCTGTGCACTCGTTCATATATTCATATGCCTAGATATGACAGATACTTGCAAGGTACTTTCATCCTTGAAACCATAACTTTGCCCGAATCTTGAACTGCACCCAATCCTGGACCAAGACCTTCCCCACCCTCAAGCTTAGACTAAACCTAAACTTGAAGCCTTGCTTTCAACCCTATACATCCTATAGCTGGCTCCAGGCCCTCCCAGGGTCAAAAGGGACGTCGCGTTCGACAGGCAGCCTACTAGGTCGACAATATGATCTCGAGTAGGCAGTAGGCATGTTTATCCCTCCTTGGTACATTGATTGTAGCTCAGAACTAGCAGTTGGAAAGCAGCTCAGAGAGTTAGAGGCGTTTGAGCGAGCGCAGCCGGGAGCCTGGTCACCCAGTTCTGCATGGACTTGATCTGGTCTTCTTGTGTTGGTCCGTGTCGGGGCTTGCTTGACATCTGGGCATATCTTGGCCCTAGGCTGCTTGAAGCAGCATTCAAGAATTGAGTTCAGCGTTTTGCATGACGGAAGGTGAGCCGGTTACCCTTCAAAAACGGGGGTTTGGTGGCAAGAGGGGAGGCGAACATGCCACTGGATTTGCGCCGGGAGTATCGGCTTGAAATAATCTGTGCGTGTGTGTGCAAGTGCCCGTGCACCAGTGAGTCGGTGAGGGAGCCCGTATGACTCTTTATTTTGTGTTTCCTCTTAGGTCAGTATAAGGGCCTTGCGGACTGCGCGTGTGTATGTATGTGTGTTTGTATGCATCTGCATATGCACACATATATGTATACGAAGAGGTGTTTGTATATGTACTGTACATGTATGCGCGTGTGTATGCATGCATGCATGCATGCATGCATGGATGTATGGATGTATACATTTGCATATGCACACGTATATGTATACGAAAAGGTGTCTGTATATGTACATGTATGTGTATGTATGTATGTATGTATGTATGTATGTATGTATGCAGGCAGGTACGTAGGTAGCTGTTGCTGTAAGGATGGTTTTCCCAAGCCCTGTCACGCCAAACTCTGGACCGATACCCAAACCTAACCAGTAGCCTCGCCCCGAAATCCGTGAAACACGCTTTGAAATTCAAACAGTTATTCTGCCCTTAAAGACCACCTGCCCCTAAAACTATGTAGAATACTGGCCTTTTACAGGTGTTGGGCCATTATTTCACCTACCTTTAGGGGTTCAGGTAGACCTTAAACCGTTCCAAGGTGAGCCGCTGGGTGTGCCGTCCACGGAGCAGGTGGTCGAGGCAGCGATTCTCCTGGGCTATTTCAGGGTTCAGAGGGGGGCCGTTTGCTTAAGGGTTTCTCGGTGGTGGGCTTTGGTTTGGGGTCCTGAACTCCTAGGTTTCCTTTGAAATACGGGGTTGCGGGGTATCGTCGTCGGATCTACATAGGCTGCCGTGAGTTTCTGTCTTTCCAGGTCATGTGGACATGTTGCCCTTGACTTTGAGCTGCGTTTGGGATTTCGCAGTTCCGACACCCTACGGGTAGAGCATGCGGGAGTGGGCCCTCGAGGCAAGCCTGCAAAACCTTAAAGAAATCAGAAGCAGATCCTCGTTAAAAAGAAGCCGTTTAATCCCACAAAGCTCTCATAGAGACTACAGAAAATCACATAGTCACAGAAAGCTGCAGGAAACGCGCATAAAACCCAAGAGGCCGGTGTCGGCTTGGGAGGCTTCATAGGATTGTCAAGTGAGGGTTTATCTGGGGCATGTAGTGTGTAGGGATTAATAATTAAGGTCAAGAACATCGGCTTTATGGGTACCTGACCCAGCCACCGGACCCGAGCTTAACGCCCTGCATGGTGCATGCCACTGTCACACCATATATGCATGATTAACGGATCGCGTGTGCGCGCTTACCTATGCTCGCACACATTATATATCACATCATATCATACCAGAATGATACCGTAACATACCATACCATTCCATTCCATAAATCTCCGTGCCCTTCCACACCTCTGAGTACACTTCCATGCCGTACCGCACCCTACCCTACCCTGCTCCACACTACCCCTACCATACCGTTCCATACCATTCCATATGCAAGACTTGAACTCATCAGGCCTCAGAGTAGCCATCTTGTCGTAGGTTTGGAGACTGATCAACAAAATCACCGGTTTCGGTTTAGGACTATCGCATCGGCTACTGGTCCGAAGCTCGGACCAGCACTTAGTTCAAAGTCGTGTCAGCGTGCGCGACCAACAACGCAGTGAACTGATTTTTTAATAAGTTCAGCAAAAGATTGCTGCCGTGTCACGGCTTGTTTAGAGCATACAACTAAAGACGAGAGCGTTCATGAAGCTGAGCGACAACAGGGCCTTCTCTTGAGGTTCATCAGATATGAACAACGCGCCTGTGAGCAGGACAATTACAACATTTTGTTGCGGTGACATCTGCGAAGCAGCCTGATTCAGTTCAACAGGCAGGATGCCTGGCATTATGAATGCAGGTCGCAGGTAAGGTGGCGAGTCATGCGGACGGGTCTCATGCTGCATCCACCCGCTAGTGTCATAGCAAAAAGACAGGGGTGATGCGGACGTTCAGTGCTCGAGGCTTGTTGGGGAATCAGCTGCGTTCCGTGCGTCTCAGTTGCTAAATTTAAAGCAGTTGAGGGCTTGCGAGCTTACAGACACAACCAGCACCGGGTGATTGAGTCGCGGACAGCATTGCGAGGCATCTAGTCGCCAAGTTTTGTTTTGACTCAACACTCACACGAAAATAACTGGTATCCCTCGTCTGGTTATACTTCACGAAGACTTCTCGAGGAGCTAGGGGCTGCTCCCTTTGAGAACACGGCTTCGTTTTGTTGTTTTGTTGGCCGTGGCCTTGCAGCATCCTATGTCCTATGTCCTACGTGACTGGTCTCTGCAGTTTCAACATGCGAGAAAGCTTGCAAGCCCGACTACTGTAGTCATGACAGGCTGCCAGCTCAATGGCACAGTGTATGCAAGACGGGCCACCTGAGGAATCACTCGACATCAAAGTTGCTGCCCAAACTCTCCCAATACCAGATGGGCGAGCGGTGGCTGAAACTGTGCTTCCTCAGGGGGCGCCATATCACAGAGTTCAGGCAAAGTCCTCTGTTTGCATGTCTTACTGCCGAGTGTCACCGATCATTGTGAGGGGAACGACCCTCAGCAAGCCTCACCTCCGCAGCACTATGGTCCACCCGAACATGCAGCACTGCAGCATAAAAAGATGAAGGAGATAAATTCGAGTTCCGTTGCTTGCTCAAGCGACTACAGCACTACCTTATCCAGTCGGACCAGTTGGGATTCTGCAGGCTCTGCCTGCAATGTACATGCGGACCCTAGGCAGCAAGTGCAGCTTGTATAAGAGATACGCTTTTGATATGTCATCTCCTCTCCATGGCCAACTCAAGCACTGAGTGAAGAGGTGCACATGTGAGTGTGGACCACGGGATGTTCTCACCACAATTTGGGATCTCCTGAGATGCTGCCAAGCCCTCCGGAGGATGGTAGCTTTTGTTGCTTTCAGTCCACTATTGTGTTGGCTTTGTTTCTTGTGTAATTAGGGCTAGCCGAAAAGTGTAGGTTTTTGAAGGCAGAAGTTAGCCAAGCAGGCATTAGAGAACCTTGAAGACTTACTCACCATGTCCTTTGGGGCTTCTTGTTACAACTATAGATATACAATACCCCTCCCTATCCTAAAAGCAAACTATTCTAATTGTCAGCGACCCTATGTGATGTTCGACAGCACAAGTGGCTAAACCAGAAATAGTTTAGGCCGTAGTCGATGCTTCTTATTCCCTGAATGCTCCCGACCCTCTTGCGCCGAAGTTTCTAGCACGGTGGAGACACAAACACACAGCATGCTGCCAAAGGCACATGCCAGTACACGAGCACCCGCATCAAGCGAGAACGCCGTTTTGGCAATGCGTGTTCCATTGTTTAGAAAAGATGCACGAAGCACTGGTTTGCCGTTAGGAAGCTTTGTAGACCTCGTCTCACAACTCGATTTTTCCACGGCTGCGCAATGTAAGTTCCGGGTGGGGGAATGTATAGGTGAGTATGAGATTCGAAATCTGCAGCCGCATGTTTGCACGAAGGCTGGATGCTTTAATTTGGCATCGGTGGTCAGTTTGGATCGCAGTAGTATAGGTTGTGCAAGCCGGCAGGTTCCCCGAGGTAAGTCACGTGGGGTGAGGCCAGCAAGTGGCAAGACATGGCTTTATCCGAGGTGCTAGCTCAATCATCCGTTCGTCTTTGACATGCCACAGTGTTGCCGTCCCTGCAGCGTTTGCAGCATTCGGCCACGATGCCGCACATGAAAACCAACAGCTGCAGGACGACTCCGAAACCAGGTTTTTAGCCTGTTTCCACTTGACAAAGGTTCCCCAAAGCGGTCTTCAGCTGCGCCCATGATACTTTTCCCCGATGCCGAAAGACTGTCGCTAAGTCGGTCAATGTACTTAGCCAGTCAATAACTTGTCATTTCCGCAAGCTGATAGACTGAAGCCCAAGCCATTCGACCAAAAGCTACTTACTTGAGACTCTAAACTCCAATGCTTCCAGCCGACAGCTGGCCCGTGGCGTCGCAAGTGCGGAGCCCATGCCGGTGATCAGGACTGGGGCTTTGAATCCCTAAACCCTAAACGCTCCAAGCCTAAGCAGCACTCAAACTCTCAGTTCGCGGCCTGGAAATTAACTGGTTGCCCCAATGCTTAGCCTCGTGGATCTCCCAGCCAAAATCGAAGAGCCTGTATATACAGTGTGTGTACTGGTATATATGTATATATGTGCTGTACATATATATATATATAATGTATTTATCTAATTCACTGTTTATACATATATATATATATATATAAACAGATATACACCGAGCTTTCCGTGAAAGCGTCCAGGAGCCGACATGTTCAAAGGCAGGAGCCTCGTGGCCCTCGCCGCAGTCTTGGCCGGGTGCCCAAGTGTGGGGCCGTCAGAATGGCAACACTGAGAAAATGTTCACACATATGTGTGAAAAATCAGAATGGGGTTTTAAGCTTTGTGAAGGAGGAATAAGACATTTGTGGGCTTTTGGGGAGTATAGTGGGTTGGTCGGTGTATGCTTCTGGGCTGAGCAATGTTAGTGCTTTTGGCTTCGGAGTTTGGGGTCGTTTTCGGCATGGTGTTTTGTCCAGGGGAGGCTGAAACTGCCGATGCTGTATTGTGAGTACGGATTGCATGCTCTGCCTGATACCGGACATCCCCGAAAATCCAAGACTCAACCTGATAGCCCAACACCTGCAGGGCTTAATCATTTCTGTCCAAGGCGTCGGTGACCACGGTCGTGATCTATCTAGCCGCTTGCCTCACTTGTCAACAGCCTCCAAGTCCGGGCAACATGACAGGTTGGCATTTCAGGCAGACCTCGGGGTTGCTCCTAGCCTTTCCGGAAGCTGAGATGAAGCCCTTGTTCCGTGAACCCTGCATGTCTAAGACTGCCGCTGGGCGAGTATTAATATTTTGGTGTGTTCAATGAAGGTCCGCAGAGTTTTGGCCACTGTAGGCAGAACATGAAAAAGGCTTGAAGTCGAGGAAGGAACTTGTGCCTACCTCAGGAGTGGCGAGCTGTGCAAGACATTCGCTCAGCCAATCCGTCGCGATTGCGATGGATTTTTTTGGGCTTTCGCAAGCTTTGGGACTTCAGCGCCGCGATTGAAGGGCGGCCTCGGGTACTCCTTTTCGGATTGGATTGGGCATGAGCAGGGTCTGAGTTCACGGGAGAGTTGCTTCGATGTCCAGGTCTGTGGGCTGAAGAGCGCGTCCCTAAGCCCTAAACCCTGAACCGAAACTATGTACCTTTTCAATGTCTTGAATCGCCAGGGATTCTCCAGCGACCTCAAGGACACGCTCAAGAAGGGCCTGCAGAAGGGTCGCCGTGCCCTCGGTTTCATGGGATCTTTGCCGTGTGTAGGAGTTGCCTGGTTTTGCCTGGTATGAAAGGTGTGTTCGGGGAGGTTTAGAGCTGAAGTTGTATAGGTTTTAGCGGTTCTTGACGGGATGGGAAACTAGGCTGCAGGACTTCAGTGTTGGGACGTGGTGGTTTCTGATGCAGCCGCAACAAGCACAGCCGCCACAGAAAAGCTGAGGATAGCTGGACTTGAAGACTATGTGGGCTTGCCTTGCAGTTCATGTGCCTATTTCCACGAGCAGCAACGCACCCAACTTTGCACAGTGAAGCCCGCGAACCCGAAGCTCGTTGCATGAGAGGCCATGCCCTCCTTCAACACATGGTCTTCAGTGAGGGACGGCCGTGGGCACAAGGCGGGAATGCAAGTGGGGTTCGGACCCAGGAATCCCTGGGCCCTAGATGTTGGGCTCCTGCAACATAAGTAGAACCCCCCCACACCCCCAACCCCCCACGGAGCCTTTCCCAATACGTCAGCGCAGCGGTAGGGCTTTTGCGAAGGGGTTGGGGCTTCTGGTGGCTGAATGGACATGCTTTGGAAGCTGCTCGGTCTTCTCAGCCCCTTCGCGGCCCGCCTCCGAAAGTCCTTGGAATCCCAAAGCCCCGGACGAAGATTTCCAGGCAATCTTGCATGTCTCTCGGCATGAACTCATGGCCGTTCGAACTTGCACTTTAACTTACGGCCTGCTTCGTAGCCGCAGGCCTGAACCACAGGCAGAGATCCTGTAGGCTCAAAACGTCCGAGTGACACCCGTAAAACTCAAGCAAGCAACGGCTCCTTGTAAGACTGCTTCCTGATGCATTGACCATCATTGACTGCAGGCTTCCACTTCTCCAAGGGAGGCGTTGCAGGGGAGCAGTTTGAAGCTGCTTGCTTCCACCGTCGGATCAGGGCTAATTTAAGAACCCCACAAGCATAAGCATTTTATAGGGATATCCCTACCTTATTGGGCTTCATTATAAGGGGTTTTGGGGCCCTATTCATGATGAGGTTCAAGGTTAAGGCTGCAGGGTCTCGGGATGAGGGTAACGTAGGGTTCGAGGCGTTGGCGGGCTGGGGAGGACCCTCCACAAATCCGTGTAGCCCGGGCTGCGGTACAGCTCGCATCACTGGCCTTTTGCGTCGATGGGTAAACTTTCAACGTTCCATGCTGGTGTCGCTTGTTTTCGCTTTTGGCAGGAGCGTGAAAGGATTCAGTGACCACGCAAGCCTGATGATGCTTTGAATGCCTTTCGCTGATGCTGATGCTGGCTGATAATCGGCTCCTGCGTTGCATTGAATGCGAGCTTGGGCCAGCTGATCTTGCGGGTGTTGCATATGGAAGCCTTGGGCGGCTGATGCTCATGATGCTCGGCTAAGTTGAGTTCATGTGAAACCTTTGCGCAGCTGATGCAATGATGCTCGCAGGCGGAACGTGGCAGCGGTGGGAGTTTGCTGCGGATGATGCTCGCACACGGTGCGTTGACTGAAAGCCTTCCGCAGCTGATGCCAATGATGCTTGCTCGCCTTATGTTGAATGTGAGAATTTCGGGCAGCTGATGCTCATGATGCTGGCGAGCGCTGCGTGGAATGGGCTGCTGATGCTCATGATGCTCGTTGTCGCATCCTTGAATGTGACACCGTTGGGCTGCTGATGCTCATGATGCTCGTGTGCGTTGCCCGGCATGCGACAGCCCCGGGCGGCTGATGCTCATGATGCTTGCGTGCGTTGTGTTGCATGTGAGTTCATATTGATTGTTAGATGTGAAAGGCCCTGCGCAGCTGATGCTGATGATGCTGGTGTGCGTCGGTCCTGATGATGCAGTCAGTTTGTTCCCGACACTAGGTGCTCCAGGTCCAGATGAATGCCGGCATGGCCGATAAAGAACATGATTGCAAGTTGTCGATCCCGGGCAGACAATTGAGAAGCGCCAAAACAGGACGGAGCACAGGTGAAATGCGAAAAGAATTGTCAGTGCCAAAAGTGATACATTAAGACAGGTTCCAAAATAACCAATCGCATGCAAAGCCTGCAACTTCAGAGCCAAGCGGTCCAGTCCTTACAGTACTCACCTCCGATTGTTTTGGAAAGGTGCGTCACTGCGCGGCAGCGGCGAAGCGACGACGAGGTGCTGGGAAATGGCTTTAGGGTGGAGTTGTGCATGTGGTGACGGTTCCTGAGCCGAAGCCTGGGTGGGTGTGGGCGGAGTGACGGCTGGTCGGTGTTTTGCAAACATCCGGCAGTGAGCACAACCCTGAAGAAGCCGCCGGCCGGGCATCTGAGCAGAGGTGAGACGAGCAAACCTCTTTTGCCATCTTTATTGCTGAACACGCACTTCGGTACTGATAGTAAGATGGTAATAATGACTTTCATTGGATGGTTGCATTGGCTTCCTTTGCGACTGCTGTCGCACTGGCTGGCATCGTCGGTCTTCACGGAATCATTACCATGACATTCTATTCTATTATATGCTATTCTACTCTATTCTACTTGTGACCACTACCACGACTGCAACGACCTGTACATGAAGCATCACCGTGGCCCCATGGCACAGAGTCCAGCCTTTCAGGTTGCCCTCGCTGGAGCTGTCGGGGATCAGGGAGACAGAGATGCCAGAGGAGGCTGGTGGAGCTTTGAGTTGATGGTTGTGGGAGCTCGCTCTGATTTGATTTTTTCTGGGGTTGCCAGTCTTCTCAAAGTCCGTCCCCTTCGGAGTGGAGGGGCCTTAGGTGCATGTCGAGCGATTTGCTCCTCTTGCTCGATTTTCGAGCAGTTTGCTCTGTCTAAATGTCTCCAGCCCCTTTCCGGCGGTCTGCTCCTCTTTCACACTTTCTGGTCCGTGTTGAATGGTTTTGATCCATTTTCTGAACTTCTCTGGCTCCTCTCTCTGGACTTGTCTAATAATCTCTTCTTACACCAGGTTTCTCATCCTTCTCAACTTCTCCAGCCCTTTTCGAGTAGTTTGCTGCTCATGTGCGACTTCACGAGTGTCTTTGCGGCGATTTGTTCTTCTTTGTCAAACTGTCTTGTCCCTTTCCAGTGCTCTGCTCCTGTCTCTGACTCAAAGTCCTGGGTGCTGCGCTCAATGCATGACTTGCACGCCTTCGCCCTTTGCTCCGTGGCGCAGGCTACCTTCACTGGCACCTATCCACCATTTCCCACGCCCCGGGAGGTGCAGGGCACAGGGCTCCGGAGTTGTTTAACGACCGAGCATGGAGACTCCCAAATCATTAGGATTCCCGAAAGAGTTCTGCCAGTAAGGGCCTTAAGATCCCAACCCTCAGGATCCCTAAAAGCCCTACCTACCGAACCTAGAGCCTAGAAAAATAGGTTTATGGGAAAAAAAAGCCGGAGGATTTTCCGGAAAGCCTGAAGACCCGAAGACCCCAAAACTGAAGCGTCCGCAGGTGCGGCACCCCTCCTGCCAACGGGAGTTTGCCCTCAGCGAGCTCCCTCGGGCATCACTGGCCCGGACCACGGCCTGAAGGGGAGGAACGGGCCTGAAGAAAAGATTATGATTAGGGTATGCCTTCAAAGCTTTGGGGCTATCGTAACATAGTGATATGTGGAGTATGAGGTGGTATAATCTTGATTATTTAGACTACTTGTACGGAAATTGGTTTGGGGGCGTCTTTGAAGAAGCCTTTCAGAGAGCCGGATCGTATGTTTTGAGGCTTTTGTTGCCAGTTGTGGGGGGTTATTGGGGCTAGGCTTAGGCCTTCCAGGCTTTTCCGGGTGCTAGGATTCTAGGCGCTGCTCCGCTGCTTTATGGCTTAAGCTTTAAGGGGCTCTAAGATTCAAGTCCTTCTAAGCCTGCAATCGTCTCGACAAGGTCATTCCATACCTGAACGAGACCTGGGTTCAGATCAAAGCCACGGTAGCGGCCTTGTGTTTTGCCAGGCATCTTGGGATCCAGTTTTATCTTGTTCCAAGGAGGTTGGGTGAACTCGTACTTGGATTGGGTCCCCGGTGCTTAGCAGGAGATTTGGGAGCGTCTCCGACTGCGGCAGAGCAGTTCTTGCGCCTTCTTTGTGTGGAGATACCCTTGGGAAATGCAGCCCCGCCACATCCCAAAGCACTGGGCTCCGCTTGAAAAAACTGAGTGTGAGGTTGGCTCTCTCCTGGCACACAGTCCCCTCGAGCTTGTCGATCAGGTTCGGCATGGGACAGGGTGCGTTAGCTTGGGGAGGAACGGTTCGATCTTGGGCATGCTCGGTTCGTACCTAGTGTTGGGAAGAAGCTCTTGACCGACCTCAGGACCACTTGCAGGGCTAACACCATCTGCAGCGATATTTAGGAATGCATCCCACTGCTGTCCGTGCCAGAGGTCCCTGGTATGCGAAGCCCTACACCCTCAGCAAACCCTGCACCTTGAGTCTCCTCAGACCCATAGACCCCGATTCAACACCAGATCCTGTTCATCGATGATGGCAACTCCCCTGTGCGGCGCTCGGGAAGTCGCCCTGCGCGATCCAGCTTAATGCAGGGGCCTCAATAATGACCTATACTATATTTGGGGGCTCCTTATTATAATTATAGTATAATGGGCCGCTTAATGGGCCCCAAAACCCTATTAAAACAATTAAGGCCCCTATATTACGTGGCGGTAAGGGAGGCTGTTGAGGCCTCGGCATCCTGGGAGCCTGGTCCCTCTGCCTGAAGCTTTGATCTAAGGAGTGGCAGCATCACGACGAACTCCGGGCGTTGCATCCGAAGGCCCCGTTCTCCTTCTGTGGGGCTCCCATGAAGACCCCCCAAAAGGACATCGTTTCAGAGGAACCAGTATGCAACTCTTGCTGCCATGATGGCTGGGGTCACTCAGCACTGCGATTGCGCGCGTTTGTTTTGCAATGCTAAGACCAGTTTCTACTATTGTTTTTGGCAGTTAACTTACTATTCTTGTGCCGGTAGTCGGCATGGTTGAGCTTCACCCTCCACATGCACTGCTGCCAGACTGCTTCTGTACCTTCACCGCTTAGACCGAGACACTGATCTAAGTTAGGTGCTGCAGCTTCGCAGTTGGCCCACCCCTGGACGGTCAGGCTCTTGACATCAGTCTGGCTTGCAACAGCAGGGTTTGTTCCTGCTCCAACACCCCAGGAGGCCCTGTCCTGCAAAGCTTGGAACCCCAAGCCACCTCCCAGCTTCGGCCAGATCCGCGTGCACCGCAACGAAGTACGGCAGGGCCTGATCCGTGCCAAGGTGACGGAGGGAGGTTGTTTTCGGTTTGCGGCTCTGGCTTTGTGACTTTTCCACCCCTGAGCGGCCCGAGCAGCCGCATGGATCAAATCGAAACCAGGCCCAGAATGCTTGTCGCCATAGATTCAACCCAAATCCATAAGCAGCCAATGGTGTGCTTGACTAAGAGCAAAGCTCTCATTGCGGAGCTCCAGCTCAGTAAAATCTCCGTGCGAGCCTTGAGCCACCCCCGGTTTCTGACTTCGAAGCCCTATAGGCGCAAGGCCCAAAGCCCTCTGCCCTGAAGCGGTTATTTGAGCGATCCGCGAGGGATGAGGGCAACGAGGGTGGCATCTGAATGGGGTTGTGACTGCCCTGTTCTGTTGCCGCTTTGCTGGCAAGGGGAAGGTGCGCGGGAGGGGCATCTCCTGGTCTAATTATCGACCTTCTGGATGTACACTTCGGACCTGCAGACGGAAAAAGGAGCTTAAACCAAGCAGAACCGATTGATTGACAGGTCATCGGCGCTGCCATGATCACGAGCCGGGACTCCCAAGATACATCTGTCGAAAAGGCGGCTCCGAATTGAGGTGTCGAGGCACACATGACTTCGCATCCCAACACCAAACCCAACCAGAAGGGTTATCCTGGAGTACGTTGCGCATTGCCACATGTGATGTATTTGCGGGAGGCTACAGGGGTTCTGACCGAAAGCACGTGTGGTCGAAGCGGCACCCCACTGTGCCAACTTATACCCTCCTGATAAGAAGCTGCGCAGGTCATGTTCTTCAAGAGCCTCTCAGGCCCAGCACCGACAGGTCCCCCCCTCCCCCCTTATATAGCAGAAGTTTAAAGTTTGAGGAGATGCTCCCTCGCCCGTCTCTGTATCCCCGTCTGAAACTCGCCGTGTTTGGCCGCAAGTCTCCACCCTCTAAAACGCCTCAAGCAACCCTTGCACTTGCACTTAAAAAGCCGAAGCCGTCTTAGACCTATATATAATATAAATAAGTCCCTGATTCCCTACGCCACCCAGGTTTTAGGGTTTCCCCCAAATCACAGGTTCCATCTGCCGCCCAGGTCCCGTCCTCATCTTCATGGAGCCTCACTGCATCGTTGTCCAGCAGGCTCCAGCCAGACTTCAAGGTTTTTAGGATTTAAAGCCCTGCAGTAAAACCTCAAAGTATGGGCAGCTTAGAGTTTGACTTTTCTCCGGGGCAATTTGGGGGTGGCTCTAGGGATGTTTAGGGGTTCGTTGTTTTTGTCTGCTGCACTTCAGGGGTTTAGGGAGAGGAAGGTTGCGTTCATGTCAAGCTCGGTTGGGACTCGCTGGCCGGGGCGCCTGCAGACTCCGGAACACATGTCAGAAATCTCCTGGGTTTTTTGCTGGCTCATACTGTGGAATTTGGTGTAGGGCTTACGGATTACTTTGGTGAGTGCATGTGTCCAAAAGATCCTAAATCCTGGACTCTGACCAGAGTGATCGCTTTCTACAGCCTCAGGGCCTGCAAGTGGCAGAACTCCCATTCCCTCAGCCTCCGTAAACCAAAGCCCCCCGTCCACACCCCAGACCCAGACGTGAAGACCGTAGACCCTCAAACTTACACGGATCTATTTAGATCCTAAGCCCTCAACTCTAAACCCTAAGCCCTAACCGCCCTAACCCTGACTGACCAAACTTAGACTACGCCTCGCATCGCAGTGGCTGGAACCTCTCCTGGAGCAGCTTAGCCTGGCGGAAGATCACAAGCGCCTGGGCTTTTGGTGTGTTTGGATTGGTGTCTTGGTTGGAGATCTGAGGGTTCAGGGTTGAGGTTTACAGGGTAGGGCTTCCTTTTTGACACGTGGGTTCCGCTTCAAAGGCCCCCCTGGTTGGACGTGCCAAGTTTGCAAGGCTCCGACGCGCGTTGCGTCTGAATGCGGCAGCCCGATAAGCCGTGAACTTGAAGCCAAGCCCGGATCCGGAGACACCAGCCGCCCTACGGCTCTACTGACTCACATTTTCGGCCCAAAGCCTTAGATATGCAAGTTCCTTGGGCCATTTTGAGCCTAAGGGCAGCACACCTTCTATGCAGAATCCGAATCGTTCAAACTCCGCAGCAAAGGACGCTGGTGATGCCCATCCTGGACATCATTCCAGAGGCGTTGCAGTTCCCAGTCTTTTGTTGACAGACAGGTGCCTCAACGGATCAATCTGAAAGCACAACTGTTTCTCGATAGTTTGCCTCCACGGCCTATATAATATATAAGGCCTAAATGTTTGTCCAATTGTCATCACGGACTTAGTATACAACGAATCATTTTTCTTTGAAGTTGACAGCTTTGCCAGCCTTCCTGCCTTCGCATGACGTCGGGCATAAATCACATGTCCCCTGATTGCCTTTCCTCCTTCAAAGTATGCGTGTGGCCGCGATTGCATGGACTCTTTGTCAGTTGTCCGCTTGCGCTGTCTCGTCAGAAAAACTTCGACAGCTACCTGCCGGCGAACCATCATATCGGTGGCTTCGCCGCTCGCTCGGAAACGCCGGCCCTCTAGTTGAAGGTTTATGCCTATGCTTTCGCATGAAGTTCGGGTCAAGCAAACCCGCTCCACCCTTAACCTTAAAGCCCTAAACCTGAGACCCGACTCAACCCGTAACACTATGCTTTCTTTAGTCGCTGCCATACTATACTCTATATACCATCCCCATGTGCCCATGCATATGCCCATGCCATGCAATGCGATACGACAGTATCTAACATTATACCGCACTGTACTGTGCTGTGCTATAATATTCTACTCTACTCTGTAGACTACATGACTATATACTTCAAGAGTCCTATATAGAGACAGGTACTAGGGGGCGTATCAGGACTGGAGCCTCACCTTCGGCTGGAAAGCGCTCATCGAGTCGCGGAACAAGTCGTGCCCTCCGGAAGCCTTCGAAGTGTGCGTTCGACCCACATACAGCCGAATTTTGATTGACTGCACTATAGTAGAACAAATGTCCGCGGCAAGGTTTTCTGCAATCGTGCTGCCTGATTCTAAACCCCAAACCCCAAACCTTGACGAGCCTTGCCTCCCCCAGCCCTATCCTAGTCCCTGCGCCTCAAAGCACCGAAGTGACGATGCCCCCGCCAGGTACATCTACCCGAACCCCTACCCCACGCCGGCACTCTCCGGTGGGATCTTCGCCCTCTGGACCTTTGGGTGTTGGATCTCTTTTTCTCAAGTGTGGGCTTAGCGTCGCACAGGCTCAGGTCTTGTGGGTGTTGCAATTCTTGTTGCAATTCAGGACTTTCGGGATTCGAGGGCTTGAAAGGTATCAGAAGAGTTCAGGGTTTCTTCGACTTTCGAATTTTAGTTCGGCGGTCGGCTTTACGGATGGATGGGAGCCTTCATCCCCCTCCCCCCCCCCCCAAACTTGGAGCGAATCAGATGCCAGGAAGGATAATTGGGAGCACATGGGAACCTACGACACCAACATGACTGAGTGGGGCGGCGAGCACATCGAGGCTTGCCAGCAGGGCACATGGTTTAGGGTTTAGGCTGGGGTGTAGGCAAGAGCACAATCGTAAACTCGAGCCTGGGATGGCAAAGAACTCCCTCAAGTCCGACGCCCTCCAAACTGAGTTGAACCCGAAACCCCAAACCCCAAATGCTCTGAGCATCATACCTTCATCTGCAACGCTCCGTCGATCCACAGATGTCCCTGCGGGCTTGGCGCTGCGGCGGCCGCATCGAGATTGTGCCCTGCTCTCGCCTCCCTGGCACTTCTGTTGTATGGGGTAGTGGTTTATGTAAGGAGTCAGGGTATCGGCACAGAAAGGATTTAGGGCTCCCGGGCTTGCCTCGGCTTTAGCTCGCAAAGTTGGAGTGTCGAGGTCCAGTTGTCGTGCCTTCGGCGTTCGGGGTCGAAGCCCAGGAGTCCGAGCCCTCTAGTTTCTAGCTCTCCTTCTCCACTGGGGGGCGCGGGCCGAGAAGGTGGATTGCGAAACTGTATAGGGTTCAAGGTTGAATTTCAGATGGTTTCAGCTTCGAGCTGGAAGACTTGAAGATGGATGCTGTTGAGGGTGATACGGGCTTGAAGCTTGGTTGTTGTTTGGCTTCGGTCTCAAGCGCAAGAGTTGGAGCAGCAGGGGATTCGGGCTTATCGGCTCTAAATTAGCTAGGAAACTACCTTACAGTAGTAGATGTTCGGAACTGCACGGCTTTCAGGGTTTCCGCTGCAACATGCCAGGGATGGGCCATGTCTTTCGCGCCCGGAGCCCGGCACAGAGGAGTTCAGTGAGGGTTCTGGCTTCGGCGTTTTCCGGGGTTCATGGTTTTGGGGTTTAGAGTCCCAGAGTTGAGGGTCTTCGGGTCTTGGGGCTTAGGGTTTTAGGGCCCTAAACCCTAAAGCCTAAACCCTAAACCCTGACTTAGTCTGCTGTTTTCAGAGTTTCGGCGTTGTGGTGCACATGCATTTGCCCTATTGTTGAGCGATGCTCCGATAGGGTTGCTCTGCTGGCCGGTGTATGTGGGGTCATAGGTTAGTGAGGAGTCTTGGTCGGGCCACAGCAGTAAGCAAGAGCCTCCGCCAAACTTGGCGTTCGACCTAACTTAACCAGGCAGGTGGAAAAGAGGTGTCAAAAGAAACCCTAAACCCTAAACCCTAAACCCTAAACCAAAACCCTAAACCCCTAAACCCCTAAATTAAGGTCCTAACCGGACTTCACGGTTAAGATCTTCGGGTCTCACGGTTCAGGGCTCCTGGTTTCAGGGTTTCGCCTCGAGAGCTCCGCGGGAGAGCGCATGCGAAGGATCCTGCTGGCTGGTACCTTGGGATCTGTATCAGGGGCCATTTTTGGCTTGAGACTTATTAGGGATCTGAACGACAGAACTGGCATTAGAATGATCCCTGAGTAGTAGGTTACTAACCATATAAAATGTAGCCCAATAAACCATGATTTGGCCAACTGGAGCCCTGGGGGATGGCATGTGCGATCCCAGGCTAAAAACCCGTACGTCGTCCACGTGCCCGAGGCCTGCGGGTGCGCACAGGGACCATTGAGAAAGCTTCTATGCAGCTGGGTTGAGGGATGGCATACAGCCGGTGTTGCGTATCTGTCGGACCGGCCTGCGCTTGACGGACATGGCGCCCAGGGCACTCAAGCAGTTTCTGCCAAAGCAGAAAGTTAGTCTAGTAGACCCATTGCGAGCTGTCCAGGTCATGAAGAACACAAAGCGCGCAGCTTTGGTGTGGCTGGATGAGTATCTGGAGGAAACGGCTTAAGCAAGCTCGATCTGCTCTCGGCACGATGGAGATGGATTTTCGTCGCGAATCATTTTGCTCGAAAGTAGGCTGCCTCTCTGAGAGCAAGCTGATTCTAACGAGGAAGCTTTGTGCACACCCGATGTGAGGACTACTACAAGAAGGTGCCCTATGCTCGCAGAATTCAGGTCGGGCCAGTGTGCTTCAGGCTTTAGGATTTAGGGTTTGTAGGTTAGGTTAAATCAACTTTCTCCTCAGAACCCTGCTGGACTGGCAGCACGATTGTCATCGACAAAATCCATGGCAAGTGCAAAAGGAAGCTAGGATGATGTAGACTGTAGACTCTTGCTTTAGAGCTGCAGGGTGAGGTCCGTGGGCTTCCCGGACAGGAATTCAAGTCACCTGGACCTGGACTTTGGTATCGGCATCCCACGCTGCGGCGAAGTTGAGCATTTGGAACAATGCCCGCGCTTGTTATGAATTGGGCTTTGAGGGGTTGGCATCCCGGACCCTCTTGAACAAGAGGATGCCCAAGCACAGCCTGGAGGTTAGTATCCGGTTCCACACGGCTCGTCGTCACAGTTGGAAAGAAAGCCGACGGTATTGGTGGGCTCATGCTTCACCATGCAACATTCCAAGCCGCGACGGAACAGTCTGCCGACGGAGAGAATGTGTGCCAGGATACTTCTACACTGGTGCAGGTCGCATTTGCGGCCGACTGACAACGCTTCAAGTCAGTAGTCGACCGGAACGTCGTAAAGCTATGAGTTACAGGTTTGTGTTCTGATGCAGACCCAAACTGGAGAGGAAGGACACCTACCGCTGAAGGAGAACCTTCCGCGTGGTAAGCCGCTCTGCTCCACGCAACATAACATATGTGAAGTGGCGTGACCCGAGTGGGCGCTAATGGGTATACTCCTGATGGTCAAAAAACACGCCCCGTGGCAATGCCATTCTGCCGCATGTTTTAGCCTTGCAGAAGACCATTTCCTTCTGCATGACTAGTTGAACCTACGTGCAACCACTATAACTTTTGGGATGCAGTAGGCTTGTCCCCATGTTGTGCGTGTCGGTGGCTGCATTTGGGGGCCCAGCCCTTTCTTGCACATACTTCACGTATCCTCAGCTTTGTCCACGAGAGCGGCTAAGCTGTGCAGGCCGGCGATGTTTCGGAGCGCCTTCGCGTCAAGGAGTGCTGATAGGATTCGGGTTTATGGTATGACTTCGCATCTAAGAGGTCGCGGACTTTCTGAAGTCGAAGGCTTGGCAATGGGGGGCCAGGGATTATGGGTTTGGTTTTTGCACCATCCGTTATTTCGCCGGGTTTTTAAAATAGGACCCGTTTTGTGGTCTTTGTAAAGGTTTGGATACATTGGGGCATGGTGCCGGAGGTTATGTTTCGTGGCTGGCACTCGTTGGCGGTACTTTGCGTCACGTTGTTGATGATTGCTGTTTGAGGGAAGCTGAAAGCTATATAGATTGCGTTTCGCAATGTTTGACTGGCGTGCCTTAGTGGGTTCACGGGAAACTTTGTAGTGGCATGGACACGGAGCCGTGGACTTGTTGGGCCTGCATCTCCACAACATCTGTGCATTTTCGAACAACCCCGACGCGCCCTGCCCTGCCTGCATCCTGGGACGGGACCGCAGGCTGGTATGCTGTTGCTGCTAGGTGGTGACTTGACGAATGAAACCTCAACACCAGTTCTGTTGCGGTTCTTTCCATGCTCGCAGCCGCGCAGGAGTCGCTGCACTGCCACTCAATGGTCAGCACCTCAAGTCCGGCAGAATCGGAAAGCCCGAACCCTACCCTCTGTGCAATGCCGCAACCGAATTGCTAGCGACTCCCGCCCGAAGCCCCTCTTCAAATATCAAAACCATCAACAGAGTCGTGCAAGCCCCGCGTACGATGATAAAACAGTGATGTATAGAACGAGGATTGGTACATCGACAACATCTATCCCGAGTTACGTGCTGGGCCCTTGGATATCCAGGGGCAACAATCGAAGTCGCTGGTTGAGCAGAAAGTTAACATCTGTTGTGATCAACACACAGATAGAGTGATGGAGTGTCCTGTGGGCGTATGCAAGTTGGTGTGTGCCTGTATGCATACGTGCAAGAACACATGCATGTACACATACATACACGTGCATGCACACTTGCATTCGAACAGACAATCATACATGCATGCTTACATGATCTTACATGCATATGTACCGTGTTGTGCAGTGACCGCGGCAAGACCCGAAGCAGGTGCTAGTGCAACAGCAGTGCTCTTTTCACCAAAGCCTCCAGTGCCAGGGTTTCCTTTCCAAGAAATCACAACCACGAAACTGGAAGCGCCGAGGCCCCGAGCTCCAAAAACTCTACATCCCACACTCGGCACGCCTAAACTCGAACCAGCAGAGACATGAACTCTCTAAACATCTCAAAGCCTTGAATATCCGCAACTTCTTAGGGGGTGTTGGTTATGTTACAGTATGGCACAGCACCATTCTGAAGCCCATAGCTCACAGCATCGGTCCAGGCGGAACGGCCTTGAGAGACCTAGGGGCTCTCCGATGGCTCGGCGCAGGTTCCAGGGCCTGATGTCGGGTTTAGGGCCGGAGACCAGGCGATGTATTGACAAGGCCGACATACGACCCGAACCATCGGATGGAGCATAAACCGACGTGGCGAGGACTGTCGGCGAAAACGAGGGCTTTGTCAGCCATTCTGAATCGTCCATGGGAAGGGCTTCCGGACTTCTGATGCTACAGGATGCCAACTCTCGCGCTGTTGGGCTCAAGTGAGAGGTGGCGTTCCTTCTGCTCGACAGCGGGCATCCAACACGCAGAGCTCGTCTAACCCAACGCAAGTGCATGTGGGCAGTGTCGGCACGCATGCACTTCACCTAGCTTAGTAATTAGTAGCCCACCAGCACACTTGCACACTCGCTGCTTGCCTAAACAGAACAACAGTACGAAGAACTGACCCGTCGCGTACGAACGATAAAACATGTTTGTAACGTGCAAGAGATATGAGCCTCGACTTATAAGACTTGTCACAGATTCCAACCCCAAACTGGGGAGTTTCCGCCGCCTACCCAGTTCACCCCAGACCAAGAGACCAAAGCAGATGCACCCTGTAACACCATAACACCCATCCTGAGTCCACCCTTAAGCCTGAACCCGACTGCGCCCGCCTGGCGTGCGGAAATCGGTCATGGGCTCCTGGCGCAGATGGCGGGAAGGCTTTTGACCCTGCTGACGATAGCCTTCGTGGCCAGGGGCCCAGCCAGCGAGGGCTGTGTCAGGTTGCAGTAAGTGACCCGTTTTGCAAACGCACTTCGACCGGTGCTTGGATTAAAGGCTTTGGGGACGGGGTGTTGGTTCAGCATTCATCATTCGCACGTGGATCCAAGCTCATCCAACCGAGTTGCAATTTCTCGTGAGAGTCCTAACTGGCTCCCTGTGAGGAATCGTGTCGTTACAGAGCCAAGTGATACCGAAAGATCCGGGAAGATTGAGCTGCGGATCCATGCTGCCCCAGCTTGCAGCTCTCCGATGACTCGTCGAAGCACGTGCATCGGATCATGCAGACCAAGTCGTAGTTGCACTCGGGTTTGCTTCTCCAGCGCATATTCGAAGCTGGAACCGTGACCGTGCTGCATTGCGATATGAAACCAGCCCTCTGAAGCTTGCAACAAAATCCCGAGAGTAGCGTAGCGGCCATGTCATTCCGCATCGCTGAGGTCGGCAATGTGGCGCAGGATGAGTCGTGGGCAAGGCGATATTATTGAATTGTATATTATTGTAACTAGTCTAGGTCTGGGTGAGCTGTAGTGCCGCCGAAGTGCACACCTTGCTAATTGCAAGAATTCCATGCATCCGAATCTAGGATGGGTTTGGATTTGTAGCAGGGTTGAGGAATGCTTAGACTTCCGATGTCCAAGATCCTGCCTTTGGCCCCATTATAGTCCTTACAAAGGGGTTTCCAACTATCAAGGCATTCGAACCTGTTACATTCTGGCAACCTAGTAATAGCCGCTGAAACGCGTCATACATTACAGGGTTCCTACCCCTGAAAAAACCCTTGAGTTATAGAGCTCGTACCCGCAGAAAGCCCTTAAGTTATAGGAAGCCTAATCTATTTACCAAGTCCCCCTTCTGCGGAAATGCCTGGAGGCAGCTAGCCGAGGATGCCGCCATTTCAGTGACCGAGGCAACGGTTTCTTTTCGTTGGCCGTTTTAAGGGTTTAAGGACTTTGGGTTTAGAGTTTCGGGTTNNTTCCCCCCCCCCCCCCCTCCAAAGCTACCTTTGTCAGGAACTACACGGAAATCATACAAGAAGGAACCCGCAAAACGTGGGGTTTTGTTCTGTTTTGTTTCGGGTTCAGGTAGGGGGCACCTCCCAGTTTTGACAGATTTTCTCGGGTCTCTGGTCTTGGAATGCTCCTGCAATTCTCTGTAGCCGCCGTCGCAGCTGGCTCTTGTGCAAGCATGGTTTTCCACCGCGGGCTTGCGCTGGGTGAGTTTCATCTTTGATCGGGCAGGTAGTATAATACCATTTGGTGTGGGCTTTCCTTTGCACAGCGGCTTGCCAAGTTGTGTTTCGTTTTGGTGAGGAGTTTACATGACCTTGTGCCCCTGCACCAGTTCTCTTTAATAGTAGAAACAGACCAAGAGATCACAAAGCAAACCCAAGGGAACCCTCGCCTGTCATCACAGACTCGACTGAGCAGTGACTGTAGGACCTGGGTTTTGAACCCTTCTCGACAAAGGCTTGTTTTTGGTCGGGTTTAGGGTTTCGTCTTTAAGCCCATGACCGTCACCCACAAAGCCCTTACGCTGTTTCGCTCATCAAGTTCGGCCCTCAGACTCAAAACGCTGTGCAGGAGGTTAGCCACAAACAGGGACTTGCCATTCTCTGGCAATCCCTGGAGAAGGTGCCATGGATGCTCGGCCTTTCTTTGGATGCCGGCTTTTCAGGAACGACGAAATGGGGTCCTAGCAGGGGTGTGCCTTAGGGAGCATGTTCATTTTCATGTTGATGGAGACAGAGTCGGCTGAGCCATTGAACACATTGTTTTTTTGCTTTACTTCGGGTCTAGTCTGGGAGCTTAAGGGACTTCTAGCATGTGTGTTGGGCATGGGGGGGGAACGGCAGCCTCTTTTCAGAGTCGTCGCTGATGTCGGAAGTTGTTACTCCGCTCTAGACTTCAGGTATGTGCGGAGTGGAGTTTCGCCTTAGAACGGATTCCCGACTATGCCAATGCAGTCTTGGTGGCTGATGGGAGCCGCCGGGTGATGAAGTGACGAGCAGAGCACCCACCCCAACGGCCCCGAAAGAAACTGAGGAAGCACATGATGCTAACCTTGGCGGGCACGGTTCTGATTGCCCCGATGGTTATACTTCTCGTCGTGGCCGTGGTATTGCCGGGGCCTTGTGGTCTCCGGGTCTACTTGCGAAGTCGAGTGGGCTCATAGTGGCTTATAGAGGCTTTTACAGCCTCTCAACCTCTCTGAAGCTCGTCCTGTTGAAGATTCACGTCATTCAACTTGACTCGTGAGCAAGAGCCAACGTCATATAGGCCGCACATCACATCGAGAGAATTCCGCACGCCGGCCGAGCTCCGCCAAAAAGCAAGTCCAGACAAAGGCACTCTGAGCATATATCTACGCCCGAACTCTATGTAATCCAAAGCTTCGATTCTCCCGGACCCCATTTTTCCAAGCCCACACCTCCACAACATGAGACGCAGAGTTCGCGAACCCGCAGCGCGCAGCCCTCACTCCTCTCTCTCGCTCTTTGTCTGTCTGCCTGTCTCTAGCCATACATAAGCTGAGACCAGAGAAGCAAGTCAGGTGCCGCGAAGCCCACAAGATCCGATCATCCTGGAAAGAGTCCAAGAAGACGGGCGCACTCGCCAGGGACCCCAGACATTCGCAGGGTCCGGGCTTCGTTGACGCTTCAGGTCAGTCTCGCAGCCCAGGGTTCCGTGTGCTGGGCTTGTAGGTTTTGCCGATGATGATGATGATGATGATGATTATGATGATGATGATGAGGAGGAGGAGGATGAGGGTGATGAGGGTGATGAGGATGTTGAGAATGATGAGGGTGATGAGGGTGATGAGGATGATGAGGATGATGGGGATGATGATGATGATGCTGATGATGCTGATGATGCTGATGATGCTGATGATGCTGATGATGCTGGTGATGCTGGTGATGCTGATGATGCTGATGATGGTGATGACGTTGATGATGGTGATGATGGTGATGATGGTGATGAAGAAGAAGAAGATGATGATGATGATGACGATGACGATGACGATGACGATGACGATGATGATGATGATGATGATGATGATGATGATGACGATGATTGTGAGTGTTATTGTAATGAGGAAGTGGCAGTGACCGTATCGATGATGAATTTGTTGTTGATGTTTGTGTTCAGGTTTCCTTGGTGAGAGTTCCTTTCTCAAAAGCTGTGGCTCATGCTGATATTGATGATGATGGTGATGGTGCTGATCTTGGTGTTCATGCTGATTGACTGACATGAGCAACGCGGATGGTGCCGGTGACGCTGTGGCTGCTCATCGATGGTGATATTGTTTCGTCCGTGCAGTGTGGTCATCTTACTGGTATCAATGTCAACCATCATGCTCATCTTCTTGACACTGAGCAACCCTATAGCTCCCAGCCAGCACAGGTTATTTCACCATACGCTGCGCACTCCGAAGCCGCTCCAAAGGCACGAGTAGCGCGGTACTCCTCGAGTGCTTCAGTCCGTAAGACCTAGAGAGCCCGACACCCCAACTAAGCAACAGACTTTGAATCCCAATGTTCCGAATCGAAAAAATTTCAGGTATACTCTTTATTTTGCGGGTTTATCGGGCTGCCGGGGGACATCATGTCACGTCCTTAATACTTGGGGTGGTCAAGAGGTGGTGCCACTGGTATGGCCGATGAGCATACTTGTTTCTTGACGCGCACATGATTCTGGCTGTATCAAGACAGCTGAGTGAGTGGGCGAACTTCCTTGCCAGGTGACTTCGACAGTCGTCCAGCTGGTCCGCTTGGTTCGTATATGTGTGCCCTCGATATGGACGGAGTCCCGAGGCCGAATCTGGCAATTCAGATGCCCGCAGATGTCTGGCAAGCTCCGCCTACAATCGTTCCTTGAGACTAGCTCCTCCATCATGCAAGACAGCCCGGAGGCGGCTAATCCAGATCCCTTGTTCTCCCATTGTAGATAGATAGATAGATAGATAGATAGATAGACTATTTGATTTGTTTGTTTGTGCATTCGCTTGTGTATGTGTACATGTACATGTAAATGTTCGTCTGTATCCTTGTATGTATGTGTGTAGGTATTCATATATGTATGTATGTATGTACGTATGTATAGATGTATGTTTAGATTAGGTAGGTAGGTAGGTAGGTA